CGTGGAGGTGGACGTGAGACGATTGAGGTCTGACGAACGTGAGCCATAAAATTTTCTTATCCTTTAGATAGCCAATTGGCATATGTTTTAACCTTTAATGATGAATCGAAATTGGCCAGTTCTTGAACGCAAAAAATGAAATGAAAGCATTTTTTTCTTCTTCCTTAACTATTGATTGGTTTTTACAAAACCAATTTGAAAACTTCTGAAATCATATATTTATAGTTTTTCTTTTTTACAGATGAAACTGTTTCTGGGACATTCGTGTCATTAACAATAGTATTGTTATTCCATTTCTAGTGAATGAGGGGCTTATTGTTTACATATAAACGAAAAAGATTAGTAACCAAGATCTGGACCCCATGCTCACATGAGGCTAAGTTGTTTTTTTAATAAACATTCAAAAATGCACTTGAACAAGCTGAATATTTACTTCCTGAGGACTTCACTAAGCAGTTTTGAAACACTTGCCCGAAAATTTTAGTCCTTTCGTGAAATCAAATGAAATTTTTGGAAAAGTGTTCTAATGAAAGACATTTACCACTTTGTTACTTCCTTCATTTATACTTTTAAAACAACATTGCCTACAAAGTATTTTGATCTGATGTGTTATGTTTTATCTCCACGATAGTTAGGTTATGTACTAACATTCAAAATATCCAATCATTTTCATTACTTATGCGGGATGTGATTTCACTTTTCATAAATACTTTTGTATTTCAGAAGTAGATTGGAACTGGATGTAGATTATGATGTTTAAAATTAAAGTAAAGAGTACTATTGTTTTAAAACATAATGTTATATAATTCCTTCTTTTCTTAAGAATTACTTTTTCTGTGAAATGTCTTAAATTTTCTCAATTTTAAAGAGGCAAAGCCTGATTTTAAGTCAAATGAAACGCTTTGAGAAGAATGGTATATTTTTTCGTTTTTTTCAACTGCAATAGTATGCAAAATAATTTTATTTTACGCTTGAGTGTACGGTTTTGATTGGGGGATTATCAGTGAACTAATATTTTGTTGGATTTATGTAGTCTATTTTTTTAAAAATTATTTTTTGTTACATAAATAAAGAAACCACTTTTTTCAGCTAAATTACACATTTATTCCAACTTACGGTAATTTTGCAAATGTGACCGTGAAAACCAGAGAAAAGTTCCGTCTGAATGAAATTTGTACGAACTACCGTCCCCATCTGTTAGAATGAAAACTCTAATCCAAACAGTTCTTCAATACGGCCTACTCCAAATTAAAATGCAGTTACAAATATACAATTAAAATTCAATTTCCAAAAAAGGAAGAGGCGGTGAGTTTTGGCAAGAAAGAGTTAGGGACAGTGAGGAAAGAATGAAATATATATATATTATATTATCTATTATATATATATATATATATATATTATATATATATAATATATATACAAGAGGATGAAACATGGAGAACTGCTTCACAACTTGCATTTCCGCAAAATATGGGGCAACAGACGAAGCCTTGGCGCGCACTACACCTGACGAACGTTGATCGCGAGTGTGGTGCACCACTCGGCCACGAGCGCCACACGCCCAGCTTCGTGTTAGAGGCTGAACGCGGCCCTTCCAGGGAGGCTACGAACTGCAACGTGCGTGCCCAAGCGGCGTACACCAACGGGCTGCATGCCTCGGCCAGCGCAGCACCTCCAGCAGCGCGCCCACGCCCTCGAGGCGAGGCGCGCGCCAAGCCCCGACCGCCAGTCGATGGGCGGCACGGGCGTCAGCAGGTAGCGCAGTCGTCATGACCGACGAGCGCGCGCAAGAAAGCGGGCGACCTGGGTGCTCCCACGGCTTGGCCGTCAGCGTGATCCGCCCGTCTTGATGTAGCCGCCGCAACTCCGTGTGGAAGTCGCGCAGGTACGCGGCTCGCGCGCGGTGCTCGGGGGTAACAATTGCAAAAGTGACTTGTGGGCTTTCGCCGCCAGAGCCCTGTGAAGGCTATCGGCTGTCCGGGCGCTCCAGCCCTGAAGAAGACCGCGATATAATGGTCGAAACGTCGGCATCACTGCCCACGACGCGGTGACACCCGGATAACCGAGAGCCTTCAAATCACAAATTAAATTACACCCATCAACTTGCGATGGCATATGAGAGAAAGATCTAGGAGCTCGGTTTTGCCGTAGGTCCTGTCAGCCCACATTGTATGATATATTATGCTGCTACTCTGCTCATATCCGGCTCTTGCCTTGCGTTCATCTGGTTCAAAAAGAAGCCGGTAGATGGCTGTTTAAGAGAGGAGTTTCTCCCGTCGTGCCGTATGGCTCCAACGAAAAGATTTCCTCTTTTTTGCCACTAGTGCTCAGAGATCTTGGTAATTAGCATAAGATGAGAAAAGGCGGAGAATTCCTCATTAGAGTGACTTTGATGTCAATCAATTTTATGTATCTTAAAGGTGCACATAGTTAAAAACTCAATCAAAATAAATTTTATCATATATATTTACTGAAAATTTGTACTTTTTCTCCTGCAACATCAAAGCAAATATTTCATTTGGTAATTACATCTGGAAATTAAAAATTAAATTTAGGAGGACATTCCTCTCTTTCCTCCACTGAGAAACCACTAATGAATAAAAGTAGTGTTCTCTGAAGAATTTGAAATGTTAATCATCTTCATTCAGAATTGAACCTGGCTTTCCTAATTTATTCCCATTGTTCTAACCACTGACTGATCGAGTCAACAGCTCATTGAAAGTATTCCAGTAAGGTGACAGGACAATAAAAATTTATTATTAAATAACATATAAACAACATAAAATACCATATAAAATACAACAAGGCTATGAAACTGTTCGTTGCATAGTTATCATCTCAGTAGCTTAGTGGTAAATGGCAGAAACAAGAGTGCCTAAATATTTATAAATTTTACACAGTATATGCTAATAATTCATAACTTTTTTTTCACTGCTATGTCAATAAACTTGTATTTAAATAACTTATGCCACCCCTTTATACAGGTGCATGCTGGCATGTGGGTGCGTAACGGTTCGTCCCTGGTTAGCCAAATCAAAGCTTATCAGGATGTACGACGTCGGGCTGAGATGCTGGACAAAGATGTGGTTGTGCTGCAGATTGGGGCCTCTCTAATTGACAATGATGAGTTCATGATTTTACTTCTATACAAGTTCAACCTGCTTCGATGGACACAGCAAGAGTTTGAGAACAGCCCATTGACTGGGCCTGTTGAGGACACAATGGACAAGATTGCAAAGTTGGTGGAGGAGTTCCTGGGTCTGCTGCTGATGATTGTGGCTGAGCGGCACGTGCCTGGCGTGGGCCAGGTGAACTCTGAAGCATGTGTGGTGAAGGAGATAGTGCAGCAGCTGTGTCTGCGGCCATTGTCACATGTGGAGCTGAATTCAAAGCTCTGTGTTGAGGGCCGCCTTGAGCATATAATAGACCAGGAGGGAAGCAAAGTGTCTGATTACAAGGTAGGCAGTCTCTGATCAGTAAAATTAAGAAACAGAAAGGAGTGGTAGTCGTAGAATAACTCATTTTAAGTGTTGTACAGTGATAGATAATGTTCACTTTTTTAAATATTTGCCACAGATCGTTCGGGTAACATGGTCTTAATAACCAGCACTTTAAAGCCCAGATGAGCCCATTTCATCAATAAAAGTACTCTTGTCTGTTTCTAGTCTTCATGCTTAGTTTTTATAAAAACTAATCCTTAGAATTTACTCCATTTTCTTTCAGTATTAATTTATTCTGATTTGACTTCTCTGTTGATATAAAACAACTCAATAATCAGATGACTTGGTCCTCTTTTTATGTTTTTAGAATTTCTTTAAAAATTAACAGCTAAGTGTTTGATATATTTGGTGCTTCCAATAACAAATGGTAGAGATATGAAGTGAGAAGAAGCTGGAATATCGTGTACTTTCACAGTGGACATATTCACGGGTCTGAGTAGTTAGCCTGATGTCTTCACTCTATTGTTGTTAACGTTTCACTCTTTCATTTACATTCACTCGGGGGAAAATTTCATTTGACAGTGATTGTGTTTATTAATTTGTAATTAAGGTATTAGTGACAAAACACTAAATAGAATAAAAAATAGTAACAAAACTAAACCTGAAAGCCTGAGCACTTAGTTGTCTTAAGGGGTTACAGCTTTCTCAGTTCAATTATAAAAATGTTGAGCACAATACATGGATGTTAAAAAAAACAATGGTTTCAATAAATTGTTGTTTTTTTAAGTTATTATTTGATGATTTATATACATTTTTTTGATTATTTTGAAGATTCAAATTCAGTGTCTTTGTCTTAAGTCACAAACCAATGAGGGAGAGGGTTAGATGTATCCTGCCATAGATTTTTTTCTCTATCTTTGTTTGGGAAAGGATTTACAGTTTCATCGTTGAGGACTTTTATTATTAAAACTCTTTTAAAAATTCTAAGTCACAGTTTCGCCTTTCAATGCTTCTTAAAATTTGCTAAACAATTTGAAAAAGTTGCTATGTGTAATAGATTTGTGGAAACTCCAGTGTTCTTTTACCGCTAGGCATGGCCATAAACAAATTAAAATCTTATTTTAGTGTTTGTTGATGTGAAGAACGGTCGTGCATTCTCAGTAACACTGAAAGTTTAACAACAACAACAAAAACAACAACAAAATCAACAAAAATGTGACAACATATGTCCCTGGAGAATAGACATCAAGAAAAAAAAATGTTTTAAACATTTAGACACTTACCATGGCTTAAAAATTGAAACTAGTATGTTAACAAAATATGTCCAACTGAACTTTGAAGCATGTGTGGCAAAGGAGAATGTTGTAATATATTGTTAAATACATAAGGTAACGATGGGTAACATTGCCAGGTGTGAAAGATTGCCACATCTTTAACCCTTTGCAGTTGGTGTCGTTAAAAACATAAATGTCCCACAGGTTGGAGGGCATATGCGAGATGACATGCCAAAGATGGCTTCCAGAATTCCTCCAGAATTCCTCAAAATGGCCTCCAGAATTCAAACTGCGCAGTTACCGCCAGAGCAGTGCGAAGTGCCGGTTTAAAAGACTTTCGAAAAATTGTAGCGTAAACTAGACTTCACCCAGGATTTGATATGGTGCATCACCATGGGATATGGAAAATAATGAATAAGAGGCATTTCACTTGATTTAATTGAAGTAATCAAATCCTTATGCCACAGAAATATAAACGTAATGGATTTAATGGAAAGTAATCTGAGGAATTGAAAATTAAGTAAGGTGTTAGACAAGGTTGTAGCCTATTGCTAAGTTTATTTAATATTTAATGGCGACATTCTAAGAGAATCGAAGCAGTGTTTTGTAGATGGTATCGAGATAAACTCTGAAACCACTCTAAATACACTATTATTTGCAGATGATTAGATAATTATCCAAGAAAGTGAGGATCATTTACAGAGGGCTCTCTAAACTCACTAGCCTATGTGAACAATGTAACTTGAGAATATCAACTCAGAAAACCATAGCAATGGCATTTAGAGGCAAACATCATATATAAGGGAAAATAATAATAATAAATAATAACATTATTGAAGTTAGCAAATTTAGATATTTGGGTTGTGATATTACTTTTGGATTTAATAAAAATACCTCAATAAAAATGCAAAGATTCAAAGACGTCTGTGGGACAATAATAAAATACATGAGAGAGGAGACAAGGAAGAAAACATAACTTAAATTTTAAAACATAATAAAAAAAAAAATAAATGCTAAAAGCTTGAGCAAAATTGTCTTTTGCAGGGTGTCTATTACAGATGCCTATTACAACTAAAGAGAAGTCACAAGGCACATGGTTCTAAGGTTATTATAGCTCTCTGTATGCAAATAAAACATAAAATTCTTGATTATTGGTATTGTCACTTAGTTTGTTTAGTCATATCACTGTGATTCTAATTTTGTTTTATTTTGAATGTAAATATGCAAGCCATAATTCCTTTGAAGCTCTTCTTGCTCTCCTGTAAATCTGGCCACTCCAACTCCATTCCATTGGCCTTACATTTTGCTTGACTTCCTCGCCCTTTTTCAGGTGCCAGTAGGAGATGGCCCTAGGCGTGGGTTGTATGAACTGAAGCCTGAGAAATATGCCGAGTGCAATGTGTACTACTACCACTACTCTCGTGAGGAGATATCAGAGGTGCAGGAGAAGCTGGTGCGTATGCGCCGAAATGCAGGCAATCCGGCGTTTGTTCCACCGCCGGTGCCCCCACCCTTTGAGGAGCCCTTCGCACCAGTTGTCACCTTGATGCGCTGTGACGTGATGCTGCTGGTGCTGCGCATAGTGCTGGAGCGTGCTGCCAACCCGCAGACGCAGTCCTTCACAGAGGAGCAGCTGCACAGGACATTGTACCTCATTGGGTACGCTCTCTACGAACAGGTAAGGCATGCACGCGTTTTCCTTCGAGGAGCTGCTGGGCAAGATGCTCAACCGCAGAGGGTTAGCCTTCAACAACCAGGTGAGGCATACAAATATGGCAGCTGAGAAAGGTGCTGATCCTAACAGGGCATCCCCTCTTCTACCAGGTAATGCATAAAGCAGCCTCCTTCAGGGAGCATAGTGCTCTGTCTAATGGGATCATGTACTTCCGGTTTTATAGTTTTAGCGGCATTTACATGAATTGCATTTTCCGCGTTGGTGAGCATTCACAAGTTGGAGATATAAAACTAAAACAAAAACTCCTTCCAACCCCCACATAGATGATTATAAGAAAGGAGGGGAGGGGAAAGGATGTGACGAGGATAGGTGGGGTATGGCATATTTTTTTGGGGTGAAATATATGGGGCTTGCATATTATTGCAAGGTGAGCTAATTTTCTTATTTGTTGTTCATTTTTTAATTTTATTTTCATTACACAACGTGATGGTTTTGTCTTAGTCTGGTCAGTATTTCAAGTCAGTTTTTGTCATTTTGTTTCAGTCTGGTCAGTATTACAAGTAACTTTGAAGTAAGTTTGCAGTAAGTATTTGGAAGTGGTTGTAGGATAGTGGATGGGTGGTGTTATTAAGTCTGAGGTGGTGGGAGCTGGAGTATATCAAAACGGGTGGTGGCGTTTTCTATGGATGGGTGGGCAAGGAAAAGGGTAAATTTAGGGGTGTTAAGTGCTTTCGTCACATGAGTCTTTGTGTTGTATATTTCAGTTTGAATCTTGATCGTGGCGTATTAGGTAAGTGGCAGATGTCAAAAGGCGAGTCGGATGAAGCGGTTGTCAGCCTTTTTTTAGACGTAGTTCTAGTGTCGTAGTTCATAGGCGTAGTAGTAGCCCAGGTCTCGCATCCATTGAGTAAAGTTGGTTTAACAAATGTATTGTAGATGTATTTCTTTGTCTTGCTGTCTTGCTTTAGTTTTGGATGGGAGGAGGAAAGTCAATGCACTGATTGCTCGATGAGCTTTTTTTGTAATATCTTTTACATGGTCTGTCTAGTGTAGTCATCAGTCGAATGTTAGTCCTGAATATTACACTGTCTGACACCATGGGATGGGGATGTTGTTAATAGTAATGGGGAGGGAAGAAGTCATAATTTGTTCATAAAGTGGAGAAAATTATTGCATTGCATTTTGTCGGGTTGATTTTTAGTTTGTTGTCCGTGGCCCATTCTGTCAGTAACTCAGCATTACATTGTAGTTTAATGATCGGTATTGGTAGTCTGTTGTAGGTTGCTGTAAAAGAGACGTCTGCAAATAGGTAGTCTTTTACGTCTCATACTGTGGGTATGTCATTGATGTGTAGTGAGAACAGGGTGGGGGAAAGCACGGCGCCCTGAGGGATGCCGGCTTGGATGAGATGGCAGGAGGACAGGCAGGAAAGGTGTTTAACTTGAAAGGATCTGTTCAATAGGTACCTATGTAGGAGGTGCTGGAAAAAGATAGGAATGTGTGGGCTGATTTTAAGTAGAAGAATGTCATGGCCAATGGAGTCAAAGGCAGTGGGGAAGTTGAACTAATGCAGGTACTGGTTGTAAAATGTGCATAATAGTGCACAAGGTGCTTTTCCTTAGAGGAGTGCAGTTTTTTCATGGTGAAGTTAATCATGCATGTGTGCTCCTTCTTGAATGAGCTTCTACACAAAGTGCTTGAACTATGGGGTAGTGTTACTCTATGACTAGGTAAGGCAGACCAGTGGTAGCTGCTCTTTCAGGACTATCAGTCTGAATTCTTTCAAATTAGTCCTAGAAAACATAAATCATATATTTAATTGATTTTTTTTCATTTTCATATACCATTAATACATGTTTTGATAAAGGAACATGTGGCTGCATAAAAAAGACCAGTGATTTTTGAATTGAACAGACTCTTACTTTGCCATCTGAATCGTTGCATGCTAGAAAACAGATTGGTGTGAAAAGGTGGAGTCACTGGGGACTGGTGAGTTGTTGCTAGTAGGGGTATCTTTACTGAGAATGGTTGTTCTGGGCTTCATTGAGAATTCTAGCATTTATTAACTAATGTAGTAACATGGACACTTTCAATCTTATTTCAAATATTACATTTTATGGAATTATAAAAAATCTTTAGTTTCATGTACATTTTATCTTTTGTTATAAAAGTAGATGTTGTTGTGGCAAGAATTTTAATTGATCGTACACAACAGTTATATTTTTGCCTCTGTTCAAGAAATATTCTGAAGAGAGAAAACGTGCATTTGTTTGGACATACATGTGCCTCTCTCAATTATTTACAATCCACCAATCACCAATCGCATAGATGTGCACCTTAGGAGTAGCACAAGATATTGATCTGTACCAGGTAATGTGTTTAGGTGTGCTAGTGCACTGTGGAGCCATGGGTGAAGGTGCTATACATCACCATGTACACACTCTTATGACCAGGTAAGTCAAGCAGCAGTATCTTCTCCAAGGAGAAGCTGCATGTGGTACTGTACTTCACCACTTAGGTGCGTTATTGCCAGGTACGCCATGCATGTGTGTTCTTTCGCTGAGAAACTACTGCAGGTTGAGAATCTCATCAAGTCTGTTACAATCATATTAGGCATGCCGATGCATTCCTTTGAGGAGCAGTTACGCTGTACCTGGTTGAGTACACAATTCATATCTAGTCAAGGTATAGAGGGGCAGCTGCAAATAGATTCTGAGTCTCATCAGGCACATTCTCCACAACCTCCCTCTGTAATGGACTACATTTGCTGTTGATAGTGAGTGGTGCCTTGGAACTCTGGTATTTTCTATCTGAGTGGGAAAGCGTAATAGAAATAATATTGGTTGAGGGAAATTTTTACCTGACATATGCTCAAACAAATAAATAAATTCTCAAATGATTAAATTGATAAATTGTTATAAGAAGGTCAATGAGGTAAGAGTACTGAGTTTTTATTCATCAATAGCCTTAATTCTCTTCTTCAGCTGAGGAATTTTATTTTTGCACAAATTTAATACAATGTAATTCTTAGCGCTTACTGTTGGGAGGAGAAGCTAGTATGTGGGGGTTCCAACACACTTCAGATATAGATTTTAACCCTTAAGTAGTCACCTCAAGTTTTTTTTCTTTCGTAAGTCATCATGTGGGGTCATATATGACCCCAAATATTAATTACATAATATTTAGTCTAAATGTTATTTTTATTATAATTTTTGTTTGTTTGGGTATCATGATCAAACAAGTATAAATATCCAGCTTTTGTAATAAATCTTCAACATCATCGAAGTAATACAAAAGAGCATTTGTTCTTTTGTATTACTTTGACATTTGAAGACTGTGAAAACAACATATGAAAAATGTAGGAATTGGTTTAAAAGGAAACAAATTCCTAAAATGGCTGTTGTTTAGAAAATAAATGTCCAAAGATAGTTTATAACAATTTTTATTTTAATGTATGAATGCTATTTTTTCACATAATTGTTTTTCAGTTCATTTAACCCTTAAATAGTCTCGTGGGGTCAATTGATACCCAACCTACAATAATTTACTGTTTTTTCGACTTCATGATTGGCAGCAATGCCGCAGCTTATACCTTCCTAGAAATCTCTTATCAGTCCTTCCTGCCTTATACTACCAGTGTATCAGAGACAGAGTGAGAGTAAAAACATATTTTTATGCTTGCGATCTCTTGCATGACTAGTTGTGCAACTTTTATTCTCTCAATTTCAACATATATCCATTTATGACTATGGTGACTAGGTATCCTTTTGAAATTGAAAGGAGTTCTGTTTTAAGGCTCTTAGAGCAGGTAGAAATCAAGGATAATATTCTATCAGGTAAAGAAAATGAAAGTGACAATTTACTCAACTTGTGTATGAATAAAAATCCAGTATTTCTTGTGTGGAATTGCAGGAGTGCAGGAGAGTGATGTACAAATCACATTATAGGAATATCTGTAAAATGTGTTTAATGATTTATCTCTCCAGTCCATGGTTGGGATCTAGCTGGTTGTCAATAATTGCTTTTCTGATACAAGTTTATCAATGTCCACTGTTAGATTGATAAGGCTTGATTTCACTTGATAACCACTTTGTGCCATTTCTTGTTTTTGTTTCAATTTCATTGACATTAGATAAGGCACTTTGACAAATGTATATCCTGCCAAATAGGGATAACATTTGCAGTGATGATTTAAGCAGCTAGGGGAAATGTTCTTAAGAAATCAGTTTCCAGAAATTTTCTTTTTAGTCTAGTAGAATGCGTTTGCTTGAAGATAACAATTTTTCATTTGAAATTCGCAGGGCATCTCAGTCCAATCTCCTTTGGGTTATTGAACAGTGAAAGTTTTTGCTTTAGGGTGCCAAAATCCTGGAGTAATTGATTCATGTTTTTTAAATTTATTTATGAAAGTAAACTCAAAGCAATAAGCATTAAGGGTATACGATTTTTTTCTAAATGTTTAATTAATATATTTTATTGTGTGAGGAGGGGAAATGTCAACAAAATGAATAAGAGAGCAGTGGGTTGGAAATAACTGATTTCATCGAAATACACTCTTATTCTATATTTATTAGCATATTCAGCACTTTTGCCGAACACTGGCATGTGCACACACACTCGACAATATCCAGGAAGAGGGACTTTGTTCAAAGACAGTCTACCTTAACTCAAAGGAAACTTGCACTCATCAAATCTACATTTTGAGTTGGACATTAAAACTCTTTAATCTGGCCACATGATTAATAACTTAAAATTGGTCTCTTAGAGCAGTGGATGCTCTTCTCAAGTCATGGTGGGTGGTCATTCTATACTGAATCAGCCTAAATTTCCCATCTTCTGATAGAACTGAAACTTTATAAATCCTGTAGAATGATGAAACAACAATGAAAGTTGTCTTTATGGCATTAAATTTCTTTTCTATTAACTTCATTTTGAAAATTATGAAATTTCATGTTTTGCGATAGTTTCAGAGGGTATTATCAAAAAAAGTATTCCAACATCCT